AATTTATATGTAGGTACCTAAATGTAAGTGGCCTGACTCTCAGCAATGCTGAGCACCCACAAATCCTATTGAAATCAATGAATACTGCTAGTGGTGAGCACATTTTCAAAATTAGGCTGCTTGAACTTAGCTAATTTCAAGAACCCAGGTTTGAAAATTTTGGCTGTGTAGCCTATGCAGACTACGATAGCACAGTGTGGTATAAAGCTTTTACTCTCAGTGGTTTGGGATGGACCTACATAACTCACTTGAGGTTTTGCCACTTCTTTGTATGTGGCCATCCAACACTCATTCTCATAAAATCTTTATACCAAACCACCAGGTATGCATATATGTAGTATTATAGATGTAGCTGGCATGCTATAGTTAAAGTTGCCTAACACTTTACATTATACCCTTCTTCTTCCTCCTCTTTGTCCTGCTCCGCCCCGCATTATAACATTGCCACACTTGAATAGTTTGGGTTGAACTTTTCCATGCCTGGTTTTTGCCTTATGCTGATTTTTTCTTAAGTATTAGCAAAAACATTTGGCCACTTCTGAGAACAAGGTTAGAGAAAACAGTTAAAATTGCCACGTTAAAAGACTTTCCAGTCATTTCTTTGAAGATCCTGAGCACCTCTAAGCTTTGGAGAAGGAACTTGAAATTTTTCAGGCAGCTAGTACTGAGGTCAGGGAGGTGTCTTTTGCTCTTCCTGTGAAAATCTGCTCAGATTTGCCAAATTATAACCCTCTGGAAAAATCAACATTTGCACATGCTCAGTAAAGCTTTTTAGAAACAGCTAAGATCTGAACTCAGCCCTGAGTATGTGTCTAGTTCCCTCATCCAGGCTGAGCATGCTCCAGGTCCCAAACTGCTCCCACATGGTATGCACACAACTAGAGCTTCAGATAAGACATAAGGAGACTTTCCGCTGAGTAATGTTAATAATTGTGGGCACTTCAGAACTCTGACTATTGAGCAAAGCCACACAACTCTACCTTAGGAGGCAGGCAAGTACCATTCCCTCCATTTTTATAGATGAGGTACCTGAAAGGTTGCACAAGTTCATTTTTGATAGATCTGGTAATAGAACTCTCTCTTTAACATGGCAAACCCGAGTCTCACCTACGTAGCCTTTCATGCTGAATGTGCAAAATCTATATGCTTACCTGTGCTGGCTGTACCCCAAAGCCACATTTCTTTCAAGAACCGTGATTTCAACCCCGGAATAATGATTCCCAACATTCTTTGCTGTCTAGCAAATAGTTGAGTGGCATCCCCCTCTAGTGACTGATCCACAGAGCATAACAGACTATTACTACTACTACCAGTTACTCCTTTAGCTCAAAAGATACAGGTCTTTGCTGGGATCCAAACCTGCAGATCACTATGGTTCCACATAACAGAATATCTGATTTTTTCAGTTTGCTTTTTTTAAAAAGCAAAGAAAGTTACATACAAAATACTTGGGTAAAAGAACATGATGGCTGCAAAATTAAGCTCTTAGGAGTTAGGAAATGCCACAAAGAAGGTTGCCCATACAACAGCTCTTGTTTGTACATGCAACATCATACAGACTTTACTTACATGATCCCATGCTTGTTCTACAAGACCTTTGTTTCATTCAGTGCACAGGATGGACAGTGAATGCGGGAGAAAGCTGCAAGAAGGAAAAGACATCTTCTTGTGTTTAAGAACTGGACTGGAGCCAAGGAGTGCTAATTTCTATTCCTGGTTCTACCACAACATTTCTATGGGATGTAAAACAAGACTGCATTATAATGTATATGCATAAGTGGGCTATATTGTTGTTGCACAGGCAAGCTAAATTCTGGCATTTCTTAACCTTTGAGTGCTTGACTTTAAAATTGCAAAATTATTTTAATATAATCTTTTGTATGTAAAATCAATATATTCATATGAATATATACATGTAGATATTAATACGTGGAGGTTATCATGCACTTTGATGGCTCACCTTTTTTTTCACCATTAATCGCATCACCATTGCAATGTATTTTAATATATCAGAAACCTTAGCTGCTTCCAACATCTGCCATTTAAAAAATATGCTAGTGAAATGTTTCCTTCTTCCTACAAAATGGCACTGGACTGAGACACATTGAGCAGTATTTCATCTTGGCTTTGAGACATGTTTAAAGTCCAGTATTTCATGACACAGTGGCTTCTGTGGACTAGTGCAATCACATAAAAGCATAAAAAAAGCATTGCGCACTAACTTCTGAGAAAATTAGAAACTAAGAAAGCATATAACCCTGCAACACTGAGTTGCAGGAGATGCTTATCACCTGACAGTATTGGGCCCAACCTGTGAACCTGAAAAGGGTTTCTAAAAATTATTTATACATCAAATTGGGGAAAATGCCCTTTGAAAGGTGTGAAATTTAGTAAAAATACACCATACAACAGTGGCAGACCCAAAATAAAAATTAAGAAGTTACATTCAATTTAGTTGGGTATTGAATGACCTCTTCTACTTGCTATGTTTTTCTATCCAGCTAAAAACACCACATTTTGCTAAGAGCACAAATATTTATTTGCAAATTACTTTTAAGGTAGAACTTGCTGTAGAGCTGATTTGGAACATGTACAGCCAAATTCTGCACTGACTTACCCCTCATGCAACCCTATGACATTCATTTTAAATTAGTGTAAAATTTGGCCTCATGGTTTACAGGAATTTATTCCACCAGGCAGGCGCCAATCTGTAATTAATCCATGGTCACATATTGTGAACGAAGACAACACAGTTACATCAACTAAACCACATATATGAGACACAGTGAACAGAACTCCGAACTTTCTGCTCCTGCTCAAAAAAAAACAACCTCTAATCACTTGAACTAATGGAGATTCTCCTTTACCTCAAGAAGTATGTGTTCTTGAAGCAGAAGGTCATGAGTTCTATTTCCCATGCCACATGTGTGTGAATGCCTGACAACTATAGCTCTAGTGTACAGTCTGGATGCAGCCATGGATCATTAAGCCTAAAAAGTGTTCTTTAGAGCTTCTTTCATTAAGTGAATGAAAGCACTGACAAATACAACCCATTTTTCTTAGATTCTCTAGATTTGACTATTGTTTTCATATGTAAGTATTGTCTTGATTTTTTTCCTCAAAGAAAGAGCTCCATTCCAAGGATATATAGAATAGAAACAGTCATTGCTTATTGCACAATGCATGTATGTTTATTTTATATATATTTCTACTATGATTATACTTTGATAATTTAGGTTGTTGAGCTTTCTAAGGGCATGGCTACACTTGCAGATGTAGAGCGCTGTGAGTTAAACCCGCCTTTGTAGAGCTCAGTAGGGAAAGTGCTGCAGTCTGTCCACACTGACAGCTTCAAGCGCACTGGCGTGGCCACATTTGTGGCACTTGCAGCGGCATTGAGAGCGGTGCCTTATGGGCAGCTATCCCAGCATGCAGGTGACTGCAACGTGCTTTTCAAATCGGGGGGTGGGGTTGGGTGGAGTGTGACAGGGAGTGTGTTGTGTGTATGTGGGGGGAGAGAGAGTGGGTTTTTGGGGTGCTGAGAGTGCGTCAGCATGCTGTCTTGTAAGTAGGGCCGGCTCCAGGCACCAGCCCACCAAGCTTGTGCTTGGGGCGGCACCTGGAAGTGGCCAGCATCAGGTCTGGTTCCTAGACAGGGGGGCCACGGGGCTCCGCATGCTGCCCCCACCCCGAGAACTGGCTCCGCTGTGGCAGTGGTGCCTGTGGGTGAGAGCCATGTGGAGCCACTTGTATGCCTGAGGGATAGCTCAGTGGTTTGCGCATTGGCCTGCTAAACCCAGGGTTGTGAGTTCAATTCTTGAGGGGGTCATTTAGGGATCTGGGGCAAAAATCTGTCTGGGGATTGGGCCTGTTTTGAGCAGGGGGTTGGACTAGATGACCTCCTGAGGTCCCTTCCAACCCTGATATTCTATGATTCTATGCCTCCACCTAGGAGCTGAATCTGCTGCTGGCTGCTTCTAGGGCACAGTGCAGTCCGCGGTGCCAGGACAGGCAAGAAGCCTGCCTTAGCACCCCCGCTGTGCCACTGACTGGGAGCTGCCTGAGGTAAACCCGTGCCCCTGCCCCCAACCCCAGAACCCCTTCCTGCACCTCAAACCTCTCAGCCCCACCTCAGAGCTCTGACCCCTTCCTCCCTGGCTGCACCCCGGCCCCTCCCAAACCCCTCATCCCCCCAGCTCCTTTGGGTTGCGGGCATCAACAATTTTCTTCAGCTGGGTCACCAGAAAAAAAAGTTTGAAACCACTGCTATAGATAATGAAATGCAGGATGGAATTCAAATTTGCAGCTTATAAAAATGGAAATCATAACATGTTCCCAAAAAAGATGTAGCTCCAAATAGGCCATCTTATTAGTATTACCATACTAAAATCAGTGGATCACTATTACATAACTCTCTCACAAGTTAATGAGGGCTCTAGCCTCTGACATTAAGACTGGACTTGACTAAATGTCTTATTTAATTTTACAACAAAGCACCACCATCATCTAGTGGTATAGACTGCTATTATATATACACTTTCCATTTTTATGACACACTGAGTAAAATATTTCAATAATTTTTCTATTCTTTAACAGCTAAAATTGAGGAAGATTTAGAATTACTGGAGGGGGTGGGAAATGAAAGAATGTGAAATTGGCTTTATAGAAAATAAACGCAGCTGACTGACAGATTATATAACTCGATGCTGGAGTCAATTTCTGAATGCAGAAATGAAAACTGTGCAAGTGAAAAATAATTACCTTTAAGATATCTCATACATCACTCATATTTATCCATTAAGTTAGTACAATCATATGTTTAATGCATTATAGGGAAAAAGGATAAAAAAATAAACAAAGGAATTTTTCAAACTGATACTTTTTGCAAATGTATTATGTAATTTTTTTTACATTCTTCATCTACAAACCTCTATTTTATTACTGGAATCAAATCACTATTTAATTTATAAATAATCTATATAATTGCACTGTTGACTTACATGGTAACTTTTCAGTCTGACAAATTCAACTTTCATGGAGATGGACCTTTCTGAATTTCTACTGAGAGTCTTAATATGCTCCACAAGGTCAGCACAGAACTTGTAGCCACCTTTAAGTACACAGAGAACCACAATGTTATTGTCTCCAATGTCTTGCATGATGTCTTTGGCCAAGCATTCTGTCCTGAAATAAAGGATAAATATAATGTAAGGTGCAGACCATAGGTTTTTCATGGAGTTATACAAAAATATCTAGAAATCATGCATGGCCTGATCTAAAGCCCATTCAACTCCCTCACTGACTTTAGTGGGCTTTTGATCAACTGCACAACTGGCAGATACAAGGAGGAATTTAATCAATACAGGATTCAGAAGGTGTATAACACAGGCTGGGAATTATCATTAGACACATTCCCCTGATTACACAACTGGAATAATATGTTGCAATAAATATTATTATAAAGGAGACTTTTTGGGTGATTGAGCAAACTAGGCCATCAGCTTTACACAGCATCCCACATTCATGTAAAGTCCCTCTATGATCACACACTTTGTTATGCAAACTGCTAAGAGTAACCGCTTAAAGGTGCAAGATAAAGAAGAAAAACACCAGAAATTACATAAACTCACAGACTAAAGAAACAGCTACACTTACATTTTAGTAAAATAAATAAATAAATAAATAAAAATACTTACAAGCAACACATATAATGTTATTCAGAGATCTCAACACACTTTACAAAGGGTAAAATCATTATCCCCATTTTGCAGACAAGACAAACTTAGATGCAGAGAGGCTAAGTGACTTGCCCAAGGTCACACAGCAAGATAGGAAGAGTCAGAGTTATTTGCTGATTACTTTGGGGATTTAAAGATCTAATAATTTACTGATCTGTATTCTTATTGACAACGTGTCTCCTTTGTCAACAGACTGTGGCATACTAGAATGAGCAGGATCCCAGCTTTTATGTGGGATAAACTTCTTGGCTTAAATCTTCAAAACTAACTAGTGAGTTTGGGTGCTTCATATTTTGGTAAGCCCATCTGAAAATATCTTAAATGGGTTCAATTTTCAGAGGGCGGGTGATTCAGCATTTCTGAAATTATCAGGCCTCTTTAGTGTGTCTCTAATGGTCAAACACTCAAAAATCATTAGTTATTTTTTAAAACTAGCCCTCCATTTCTAGCCTCTAGCAAAGATGGTTTGTGAAATATCAGACCTGAAACCTGTACTGATTCAAGAGTGCCATCCTGTACCTCAGACCAGTGCGGGAAAATGCTACACTTGGTCGAGAAGAAGAAAAACAATTTTTTCAGGTTGCTTATAAAAACAGTAGCTACTTGGCATTATAGTGTAGTCCCAATAAAGATGGACTAGTGGCCAGAGTGCAGATGAGGAAATCAGAGGTGTAGGCCAAATGCAATTTATTATATGATTCTGTAATTTATCATATGGATTTCACTACCACATTTGTGCTATAAACTGCTCTTTGCTGGTCCACAGTGACATAGGAATCCATTTTTCTCCGCATATACAGTAATTTCCAATTATTTATTTTTTGTGTATGTGCACAGCATGTGTAAGGGAAGAATATACTCCGAAGAGGACAATATTTCTTTTCATTTTTCTTATTTCTGTTGCCAACAATAAATTACTGTAGCTACCATTTAAAAAGGTCAAAGTTTCTTTCAGTTTCATATCTATGCAATGCAAAGAAGAAATTCTATATACCAAAAATAGATCAAAAGAGTGAATATTCATAGGTTTTAAGGTATGAATTTATATCAGCTAGTCTGACCTCAAATACATTTAAGTTCCCCTTTTGTTTATGTAAAAATAGCACAAATAGTGAGGTAACTGCATTTTTCTCCGCCTTCTTCAGCATTACCTGCTCTAAAGGAAAGTCTGAAATTGTGGGAAAGTCTTTCACGGAGACAGTGAGGGAAGACACTTAGGGCTTGTCTATACTTACGCGCTGGTTCGGCGGCAGGCAATCGAACTTCTGGGTTCGATTTATCGCGTCTTGTCTGGACGCGATAAATCAAACTCAGAAGTGCTCCCCGTCGACTCCGGTAATCCTGCTCGCCGCGAGGAGTACGCCGAGTCGACGGGGGAGCCTGCCTGCCGGGTCTGGACCGCGGTAAGTTTGAACTAAGGTACGTCGACTTCAGCTACGTTATTCACGTAGCTGAAGTTGCGTACCTTAGTTCGATTTGGGGGTTTAGTGTAGACCAAGCCTTAGTGATCTGTGTCCATCCATATTTTTTTTCAGCCCTCTGTTTATAAATTACACTCCCTCCTTTCCCATCTTTTTTTTTTTAACTTCTTAGAGGGTTTTTGTTGTTTTGTGTAATTGGGTGGACATAAACAAAAGCTACTTTTCACAACTTTTTAGGCTAGATACTCAAAACATTTTGATAATCTGGTAAAGAAATGGGTGGCTTTAGCCCACTTTTACATTTCAAGCATGTTGACAGAAACAGAAATAAATGCTGAATGATTCTTTAAATATCTCCTTGTCCCCTAGCTTTAGTGTCCAAGACTATATACTTTGCATCATGGATTATTCCAACTTGAAAAGACCCTGACATTTTGTCCCTGAGGCTTCCCCTATACTAGAATTCAAACTATTTCAGGAAAAAATGTTTAACCTTCATTTTTACTGGCAGGGTGCTAACATAATTTAACTGATCAGAGTGGAAAGGAATGAATTATGTTAAAGTATTTCACAAATCATGACTATATGGATTACTTTACTAAATATTTTGTAAGAGTTTAAACTCTAGTGCAGACAGGAACTTATTAAGCTCCAGTTTATATATAAAATATGGACAAAATGTAGTTGTATTCTCATTACAAGTATTTTCTGCAGTTTTGATCTCTCTCTCTACACAACGAGTTTTAGCCATATATTTGACAATGAACATCAAAGTAAATTCAATCCTGTTCCTTGCTCTAACCCCAGGTTTGTCTTGCTGGTGTGGAGAGAGACAACCGAGTTCAACAATTTTAACCAAATTTACAGTTATATCCTAGTAGGAAGGAAGGTTGAGCATATGATGTTAGCTGACTGGTTTCAGAGTAGCAGCCGTGTTAGTCTGTATCCGCAAAAAGAACAGGAGTACTTGTGGCACCTTAGAGACTACCACATTTATTTGAGCATCAGCTTTCGTTGGCTACAGCCCACTTCATCAGATGCACAGAATGGAACATATATATACATACAGAGAACATGAAAAGGTGGAAGTTGCCATACCAACTCTAAGAGACCATACACCACACAACAAAAACACTAACCCAGGAACCTATCCTTGCAACAAAGCCCGATGCCAACTCTGTCCACATATCTATTCAAGTGACACCATCATAGGACCTAATCACATCAGCCACGCCATCAGGGGCTCGTTCACCTGCACATCTACCAATGTGATATATGCCATAATGTGCCAGCAATACCCCTCTGCCATGTACATTGGCCAAACCAGACAGTCTCTACGCAAAAGAATAAATGGACACAAATCTGACATCAGGAATCATAACATTCAAAAACCAGTAGGAGAACACTTCAACCTCTCTGGCCACTCAGTAACAGACTTAAAGGTGGCAATTTTGCAACAGAAAAGCTTCAAAAACAGACTCCAATGAGAAACTGCTGAACTTGAATTAATATGCAAACTAGATACCATTAATTTAGGTTTGAATAGAGACTGGGAGTGGCTGGGTCATTACACAAATTGAATCTATTTCCCCATGTTAAGTATCCTCACACCTTTTTGACAACTGTCTGAAATGGGCCATCTTGATTAACACTACAAAAGTTTTTTTCCTCCTGCTGATAACGGCTCATCTTAATTAATTAGCCTCAGAGTTGGTATGGCAACTTACAGCTTTTCGTGTTCTCTGTATGTATATATATCTTCTTACTATATGTTCCATTCTATGTATCTGATGAAGTGGGCTGTAGCCCATGAACACTTATGCTCAAATAAATTTGTTAGTCTCTAAGATGCCACAAGTACTCCTGTTCTAGTCAGCTGACTCGAATCACAATAAAGGAACAACTGACTTCTACACTGACTGGAGGAACAGAGAATGAAGGAGAGCTATAATTGACACCTGTTTTCATAAACAGCTGACAACTCCAATGTAGACATAGCTTTGAGTAGGTGGGTTTTCTTATGGGGGAGCTTGCAGTGGCCATTATATTTACGTTTCCTAACACTTTCCATTATGATAGATTCTTTCAACCTTCTTAGGGGGGAAGGATAGCTCAGTGGTTTGAGCATTGGCCTACTAAACCCAGGGTTGTGAGCTCAATCCTTGAGGGGGCCATTTAGGGATCTAGGGCAAAAATCTGTCTGGGGATTGGTCCTGCTTTGAGCAAAGGGTTGGACTAGATGACATCCTGAGGTCCCTGCCAACCCTGATATGCTATGATTCTTTTAAGAAGCTCCAACTCCTCCATTGTTTGCAACAGGCCTTTCAAATGGGTTAAGGAGAAAGTTCTCAAGCAAAGAGGTCTTTTCTTTTTCCATGCAATTCCATTCAGGTTTGTTGAGATATAAGTCAGCATTTCCCTTCTGTAAAATAAGCACTGCAGAAAATTTTTGGCAGCATACCAAAATAATAACTGAACATGAACACTCTACAGAGCTGAGTTGCCACCAGTGCAAAAGCAAGAGCAGCAACAGTAGACACAGCACTGTGAACAGCTGGGAGCTGCTGTAGTGGAGGGAAGAGAGTGGAGACATATTCCCTCCAACAACCCTTCAGACCCAGCACTTGGCCCATCCCCAACCCTGGGATAATACCCTTCTCTTGCTATCAGCTAACAGTCCTGTAGGTCAAGTGACAGAAGTCTGTGCTACAACAATGAAAGTTTAGGGTTCAACCCCTGTTGATGATGCATAATGGGGGCTGTTACAGTTACATGTAATAGAAACTGGTTTTACCTTTTTCCTTTTAAAAAACCCTGGTAAATTAAATTTTAAAACTTATTTAGATTGCAAATTAAGCACTCAAAGGTTAGGAAATGCCAGCTTTAAGGTTGCCCTTACAGCCTGAATTCTGCCCTCTTGTGCATATGTATTATGACAGACTTTAATTACTTGATCAGATACAGTCTTCCCCACAAGAATCCTGCCTCATTCAGTAAGCAGGATGGACACATAAGGTGGCAGTATTAAGCCTGCACGGGCTACTGTAAACCTGGCATTTCCCAAATTTCAAGTGCTTTCCTTTGAAACCTATATAATATTCTTTAAGAGTCGTTCTTTTGTATCTAATTTTATGTATAAATTGTTTGACTGTCCAATTATGTCTATATAACAAGTATACAAAACATTGTTAAATACTTATATAGTAATATTCAAAGCACTCTTACCTGTCAACAATAATACCATGAGGTATGAGCACATATTCCAGATCTCCATAGTAGTGCTGTGGATATGTGAATAAATCCAAACTGTAGCCTGGCCAATCGTCTGAAATCTGCAAATTAGGTTAATATAATTAGAACACTTCATTGTATTCGGTATATAAAAAGTTGTTATCATATTCTCAATGTTAGACTATGTCCTTTTACACTGGATTTGACAGTATTATTAGCAACTACTATTAGTTGTACTGGCCCTATGCACACACCCTTCCCATATATGGTGATATCCATGTGATTAACTCCAGGGTCAGGTAATCAAAAATACATGATGATAATTTACCACTTCACCTGTGCCTATTAATCACGGGTGCATTATGTCTACTTCTATCAATCTAACTCTATAAACACCCTTAAAAGTAACCATTCTTTAAAAAAAAAAAACTTTCACAGAAATGCTGTTGTCTTTCCCTAATTTTATCTGCATAAGTCTCAGAGATTGCACTACACATGACTGTGAACCCATGAATGGTTTATGCAGGTCATCTGAAATGAGCGCCTAGAAAACATTCAAACTCACCATCAGGTATTCTTTATATGCCACATATTTACAGAAAAAAGATTAATGTTTTAAAGAATTTTTAAAATGTGTATTAGTAATGCTTTTAACATCCATCCACCTGTAAAACCACGAACTGAATTAATACCAGAATTTCAGAAATAAAAAAGTTTATAAATGTCAGGCAGAAATCAAGCAGGACAAATGTCAGTTCAAAAGGTCATGTTTCACAAAGCTCTAAAGATGTAAAAAGGAGGGATTGTAATGGAAACGGTTCAGCAGGCTTTACAACAGTCCCATAGTAAAGACAGCACCTCCAACTGCTTGCAACCATACTGGAGCTTTGTTTCAATATTGACTTTGAGGAAAGAGTGTCACCTCACGGGTTTCTTAACTGTCTTTGCAGTCATATGTACCCATAAACATCTTGTCTTTATTCCTTGTATTTACTCCTGAGGGCATTCTGCACCAAAAAATGTATATTCTGCACCAAAACATTTAAAATTCTACACACAATATTTTAAAATTCTGCAAATTTTATTGTCAAATAAATGTGGAGGCTCCAGCATGGCATTGGGGAGCACAGGCCACTGGGCTGCACAGAGGTGGGAGATCACTGTGCAGCTCCCTCCCCGGGACATGGATTCAGCGATGAGATGCACCCAACCCTGACAAAGTGCTAGGACACAGCCTGCCCCAGAAACATCCTCGGGCCCTGCCCCTCTGTGTGGGCAGGCAGGTTCAGCAAGGCAGGAGCCAAGTCTGGAGGGGCTTAATGTGGGGGGATCCAGGTGTGGGTTGAGAGGGTTTTAGTTGGGGCAATCTGAGTGCAGGTGGCTCAGTGGGGGATCTGGGTGCGGGGGGGGGGAGTCTGGATGCACATGGGCTTGTTGGGGGGTTCTGGGTGCAAAGGTAATGGAACTCTGCAGGAGGGTCCAGGTGAAGGTGGTTGGGGCTCAACAGGGGATGGGAGGGGAGTGTGTGGGGGATAGAGCTCGGCAGGGGGGTCTGGGTGTTGTGGGCTCAGTGGGGTGTTCAGATGCTGGGGGAGTGGGGCAGGGATCCAGGTGTAGCTGGTTGGGGCTCGGTGAGGATCCAGGTGCGCATGGCTCATCAGGGTGGTCCAAGTGCAGTGGGAGTGGGGCTCATCGGGGACGGGTCTGATTGCAGGGGGGGTGAGGCTCAGCGGGCGGGTCTGGGTATGAGGGGGTCTAGATGCATGGGGGTTGGGCAGATGTGGGAGCAGCTCCCTGAATAGGAATCCCTCCCCCTGCAGCTGAGGAGCAATGGGTGCAGGAAGTGTGCTATGGGAGGTTGGGGGGTGGAGAGTTTGCAGAGCTTCCTGCAGCCGGGAGAGAAATCTGGGGGTGGGTCAGACTCGGCCCCGGATGCCGTGCAGGGCAAAGGAAGTCTCGTCCTCTCCAGTTCAGCCGGGGCTAGCAGCTGAACCCGGCGCAGGGTTGGAGCCACCAGCCAGGTTGTACCCAGTCTCGCCTCATGCCCCACAGTGATTTATCTCTCTGCTGGCTGCCCTGGGCACCCGAAACATCGCTCTTGTGGCTTCCTTTTACTTCCCCATCAGGAATCATTTTTCTGCAGGGAAGCAAAGAAATGTGCGGGGGGACATCAAGTCTGCACATGTGCAGTGGCGCAGAATTCCCACGGGAGTATTGTATTGTTCAAACACATGAATATCAACAAATGGTTAGAGAACTGCTTTTGTGGGGTACAGTGTGCATTTCTGCTATATAGAATCCTCAACTAAAGATTAGAAACTACTAACTACTGCAAGCAGATTCACCTACTAGAATAAAGAATCATAAATCCTTCACAAATAATTTGCCTATCAAAATGTGTTGATTGCTGACCTGTTCTATTACATTAGCATCTTTATGAGGATTCTACCTTCATACATTGCTATATTTATCTCTGGCACGAGTCTGGTGATGCTAAACTACACCTTTAAGAAATATTATTTGTCTAAGAATGGTTACTTTACGTCTACATAGCTGCAGCACAAACATCAACTTCCTAGAGAAATGTGCCTGGCACAAAATCATTATTTGCTTGCAATTAATAATTAAAAACTGAAAATAAAAGGCATGACCCAAAGACCACTGGAGTCAATAGGAGTTTTTGCACTGACTGCAATGGGCTTGGATTTGGTCATTAAAAAAAGTTACTCAATATCATTCCACATTTTCACGGGAAGAAGGGATTACATACATCCTCAAAATTTCAAGGTTTTTCAGTAGGGGGCAAGTCCTGTTCACAATAACACAGTTGCAGAAGGCCTAACAAACCTATCAATATGTTTAGAGAATTCATATTAGGAACAAATGCTGTGCCAAATCTGAAAAAAATTGGTGGAGAAATAAATGATTGAAAATAGAAACACATACAGCAGTATTTGAAAGCTATCAGTCAAAACATCTGGGGTGAAAATAGGGAAATACCTTATAATACCCATCTACTGAAATACACTGGACTGAAAGAACTTTCACAAGGGAATGGAAAAATGGTAATTTTGTTTAAAAAACTGGGGCTCTCTTTTAAATTTGGAATATATGAGAACATTGTTTACACACAGTAGGTAATTTTCATTTATGTATGTAATAAGGAACCAATTGTTTCCACGTAAATTCGTGTGATCAGGCAAGATGAATGTGAGAACCATAACATTTTCTAGCTTTCATAAATTCAAATTCACAATCACATTGTTGCATTATGGTTCTTTTTTTGTTTTCATGTGTATGGAACAGAAGAAAGGAAGTCATTACAAAGCACATCTCCTTTGAAATGTCTCCACTTTGCTCCAGTGCTAACGAAGTCATCAGCTTTGTAATAGCATTTATTACAGAAATTACCATCTAAATGGCCAACATTAGTTTAATTTAAGTACACCAAGGGCCTACCTCTAAACTGTAAAAACACCCGTCAGGGGACACACTTATAACACAGTAGCCCCACCACAGTTTTATGGTGTACACAGGACTTTTCAAAAGTTTTAGTTAAATCATGGCTAATAGTCTCTAATCTTGTTCTGGCACTTGGTTAAAACATTGATTGGTTACAAGTACACTGTAAAATAAAAGTATTTCAATGTCTTTTTTACAATGTGGATAGGCCCAAAGAAATATCAATTTTTCCCTTTTGAAAACTTAGCTTATTCATTTATTATTATCATAACTTATAAAGCCCCACAGATGTTCATGGTGCTTTCTAAAACATATAGTTTGCACAGTTCACTACCACCTTCTGTGCACAGAAGATGAAAAATAAGAACAACCCAACAATGCATTTTTATCACTAGGTTGTTTCTACAGCAAATGCAATTGACAATTAAATCCACAAGCCAAGACAATTCCATGGTGGACTTGTTTCCATCTAAAAATCAGTAGTCCCGTCATGTTTGGCAATTTTGCTAGTCACTGCTCAGCTTGCTTCCACCACACTAAGGGCACACATACATCATAACTGCTGCAGCCAGAGGGCACAGACAGGAAATCAAACTTCCCCAGCTCCTGGTGAGCTGCTAGGACTTCTCTCGGGCAGCCAGCCACCCACCCACAAATACTCCATACAGGGAGGGGTGAGAAGAGTGTGCGGCAAAGAAGGTTCAGAGATACAAAGACAGAACACAGGATTGGGTCAATGGAGCAGGGGTGAGGGGGCAAGAGGAGATGGTGGAGGATGAATCACAGAACTGTTGGTGTAAGGCACTGCAGAGCAGATGGGAGTAAGTAGTACAAGTTGGGGGAGGCAGCTGGGAAGGAGACATCAGGGCAAAGCTGAAGTATTGAGCTGTAGAAGGGTTGAGTGAACAAAATTGGGACCAGAAACAGGGCAGAAGGGAGGAGATGAGGGATCAAGGTGCAGGGAAGCAAGGCTGTTTAGAAAAGATGGATCTTAAGGGTAAAAGGACCAGGGAAGAGGAGGGGAATCAAGGCCCGGGACAGGATGGAATCAGGGTATAATGCGGAAGGGCCAAAGTACAAAGGCCATGGGGAGAAGATGTGGGAGATGGGGCAAGGCCAGGGTGCAGCAGCAGAAGGGCGGGGGGGGGGGGAGATGGTAGCGGAAGATCGGGGAGGAATGAGGGGACGAAGTGGGGGTCAGGGCACAAAGGCTGTGAGGAGGAGACGATGATGGGCGAGGAGCATGGCATGGCCAGTAGATGGGGGAGGGAGGGCACTGCGATCAAGGCACAGGGCAGGGGAACAGGGTGGGTACCCAGGGCCATGAGAGGCGGGGCGGCGGAGGGGAGCGTGTCCAGAGGACGAAGGGCCTGGGGAAGCTGGGGTGCGATAAGGAGGCGGGATAGGAGACATGACGGAGGCGCCAGGGGCGGGACCGGGGGTGCCCCGCCCAGGCCAGGAGGCGGCAATGGCGAGGGACCCCCCCAGCGGTCTGGGGACTGCGGGCAGCGCTCCCCTGGCGCCGCCCTGGGCTGGGGGGAGTTTTTCCTTTACCACAACCCCGCGGCCGCTGCCTCTCTGCGGCGCCGCGCTGCTGCCGCCCTGACCAGCCATCTTCCCTCGCCAGCCCCAGGGGAGCGGCGCGGAACCGCTGCAGCCGCCGGGCTAGGAGGGGGGAGGCGGTGCTGCTGCTGCTCTCCGGGTGGGGGCCTGGGGGAAGGCGTCGGCCTGCAGGGAGCGGAGGCCGCCGCATGCAGCGATGGGAGCCCCCTTGCGCGGAGGAGAGGTGTTACCCGCCGGGCCTCTACCCCTCAGCTGCCCCGGGCCGCTACTGCCCTTCCCATGGGGGTTGAGGAGACCCCTCCCCTGTTCCAGCTCCTCACTCAAGGGGCAGCGCCCCGCTGAGCATGCAGAGTTCAGCCCTCCCCCAAACAGAGGGAGGATGGGGCATTGGTCCCACGGAGGACTCCCCCCCCCAACATACCGTGTACAGGCGCCTCAATAGAGGATGGGGGCATCATCCCCACCCTGGTGCGCATATATAGCCTGTGGCCCCTGCTAGAGAGCCCCCAAAATAGTGGGGTGTGGGGCAAACCCCACTAGGGCCTCATCCTCCCGAGCATGGAAATAGGCTCCCTGGAATAAAGTAGTGTGTTAATGAGATTCCGACCCATCCAGAGGGATGTACCTACAACCCCTTCTGATGGCAGTGAATAAATTCAGGCTCAGAGGCTGTGGCAGTGAGCAGGCACTGTGTATGTGCCAAGATAGAAACAACTGACAGACCTTAGGTTTATATCTGGCCTCTGGGTATGCACGGGCATCTATAAGAAAAGCCTCCAGCAAGCACAAATTGACTACCTTTGAATTCATGTCTGGGGGTATTATATTATTTTCATTTGTGTTACTGTAGTGCCTATAGGGTGACCAGATGTCCCGATTTTGGGGGCTTTTTCTTATATAGGCACCTATTACCCCCCACCCTCCCGTCCCGATTTTTCACACTTGCTATCTGGTCACCCTAAGTGCCTAGGAGCCCTACTCATGGACCAGGAGCCCACTGTGCTAGGCGTGTACAAGCACCAGTCAGCAAGCTTTATTATTAAGATACAATATATGCCACAAATGCACTTAAACTGTTCTATACCCTGATATTTCAGTTCCTTACAGTAGGGCTTAAAATGAAAAATTAGACTCATGCTGCTATACCCTCCAAATATCATGTATATTTAACTTCCATTGGTACATTTTTATTGCCCATCCATATGTCAATTGTGCATCTCCAAATAAATTAATCATGCCTCAAATTAATGCTTCAATTCCCCCAAACAAATTATTGTTACTAAATATTATTTGTTTCTGCTAATGCGCATGGTACATCAAACACTTTTCAAACATAGAAGTTCTCTGCCCTGAAGAGCTTACTGCCTGAGAAAGAAAAGATAAAATAGAGTCACAGAATATGGGAGAGGGCGAACGTGACACATAGGCCCCGTTCTTTGCAAACAACTCTAGTCTCAGGCCTGACAAACTCACTACATCAAATACGTTGCTTACAGGGTATTTGTCCATAAAGGATAACATGTAATGTCTCAGTTGAAAACTTGAAACTTATCAATACTCATAATCATTGTGAGATGTGTGTACAGGCAATATTTAAGGAATAATGTAACTATATTGAAAATTATGCCCACGGAGGAAAGAGTAGTCACCAGGGAATCATATGTCTTGGTGATTGTAGTAAGATGAGGCCCTGAAACATAACCTCTTGTGTCAGAGGCCCAGTCTGAGGCCTGAAGCCTGAACCAAAGTACTTCCAGGCATTGCTAAGGAAAAGCTGGGCTGTAAGCCAGAGGCAGGCCCCACTTACAGAAGTTGGCAAGAAGAGGGCTGCTAGAAGCAGGTGCATCTTAAAGACAGGGTCAAAAGGACAGCATGATGGATAGAAACAACATGATCAAAGGAGGAGACAGCCCCCAATGAGTCAAGGAGCTGTACTTCAATACGTCAGTAGGGATGAGTAATCTGTCCTGTAATGGTATAAAAGTAGGTCCCGGAGTGCGCCTCTTTGTCTGGCCTAGGGGACAGTGGAAAGTCCCGCCACTGACTGAGCCGGTCCATTGCCAGGGGGCACAAATTCGTAGTATGTCTTGTAGAGTCTACAGGAAACTATTACTGTGCTTCGTTTGACAATAAACCTGGCTCGGGTTCCTTCGTACCTTACTAGAGTCTGTGGTCATTGGGGGTTCTCTTGGGGTTTGCTGTGTCAGCTATCTGTGCAGAGCTGGGGCAGCATACAGAGGGAACACGCACACAGCCGACTGTTATCATCATCGAACAAGAGCAGAGCACCACACCGGTAGCTACTGACAACAGTGATAACCTATTCAAATGGGAAGGAATTGTGTCCAGTCTCCCTGGCTAGCCAATTATGTAATGTATGGTTCAATTGCCTACTCTTACCCTATCCCAGAACTGTCAATGAAAAACCATCAAAGACAACTGCAAACAGTTAAAACCATGTGGAGGTAAAAAGGAACATTATAACAGACAGGGGATCACCCTATCTATTCATAAAGACAGAAGACTGTTTCAGTATAACACAGATGTAGGAGATGCCCTCTGGAGCCATTCACTGAGGAGACATTTTGAGCAGGGGTGTTTTTCATGAAAGATTGGATCCTGGTTCCTGTGAAGCCAGACAGCTCTGCATCAGACTGAAATTTGGGGGAAAACCTACATTATTAAATACAAATGGTAACTATTAGTAAGTGTAGGCCCTAGTTCACATTTTACTTTTTTTTTCAATTGTAAGCTTTTGTTTCCATCATTCTCTTGTTGCTAGTGGAATCTCTATTATTTTTTAAGTAAACCTTCTTTTGTTTCACTAAAAGAGCTGTGTGCTAAACAGGAGCGGTGGTTTAAGGTAAAACTGCTAAACTGGGGTACACTTCTCCTTTGGGGCAGAGGATCTGAGTTTCTGTGAGTAGCCGGTATCAAGGGCTGGATATCACAGGGGAATACTTCAAAGTGACTTGGGGACTGGGGTGTACCTCTTGTTAACCTGCAAAGCAAAGACAGGGCTGGCATAGCCCAAAAGAAAATGCTTGAGTGCAGGGGTGAAAGTAGGCCAGTACGGGCCGGTATGGCGTACCAGTAATAAGTGGCTGCTGGTACTGGCCCATATGCAGCCAACATTAAAGCGCTGCCCCTTTCTCCCCCCCTCCCCCTCCATTGGCAGCCCTGCCGGTAGGGACTCTATCAGCAGGGCCACTGACGGGGAGGGGGGAGGTGGGTAAAAAGGGTAGCTGCCCTGGGGCCCAGCGATTTAAAAGGGCCCAGGGCTCCCGGCTGCTGCCACCACTACTATGGCAGTGGTCAGAGCCCTGGGCCCTTTTAAATCGCCACCGGGGCCCAGGGCGGTGTGGGCCAGGCAGTGTGGATGGGCTGGCTGGGAGAGGCTGACCCCCAGCCCCGCCCCTTCTGCCCAAGGACCTGCTGCTTCCAGGGGCCCAGAGCTGGGCCCCCATACCAGTAAGTCTTCTGTGTTACTTTCACCCCTGCTTGAGTGGCTGAAAGACTGGTGGTGCTAGAGAACTAACACCTAATTATCACAGGCAAGAGTCCCTCACACTGGAGTTAGGGGGTAACAAGGTGCCTCTTAGTCCTGGGTACTCTGAGAACCATCAAAGGGACACCAAACAGGTCAGGTGACAAGGTGGTGATTTGCTATGTGCTGACAAGAGAGTTTGAATAACACAATCTTTTTATTTTAATATAGGGAATATAGACAATCCCAAATATTGTAACTCTTACAGTTATTTGTAGATGTCATGGTGGAAGTGGTCATTTCAAGAGACTTGAATACGGAAAAGGTGGTGTTGGCTCCATGCATAGAGTGTGATAGAAGAAGTTGCAGATGGATTAATAAGAGAAGCAAGTAAATGATGTGTCAAAGCTGGCATCATTGGCAGAGTGAACAGGATGGGGCAACATTAAAAGAGACAGATGAGGACAGAGTTGTGGAGAAAGCTTGGATTTGATGTAGTGGAGGAAGGGAAGTCAGTGAATGGATGAAATGGAGTGACATGGTCAGAATGACAGATGAGCAGCATAATACTAGCTGTAGCTTTTTGTTTAGACACAGGGGCAACCAGAGTGTCAGGGAGGCCAGATAGCAAGTGATTGCAGTCATTAATCAATTAATGCTGTCTTCCACCTTTGAAGAGCTCCTTTGCTGCTTCTGCCTCTACTCCATCCAGGTGTGTTGAAAATTACATTGGCTTCCCTACTCTGTCTCTCCACCTAGGGTCTTCCTTCCTCACTCTTCCTCTCCTCCTCTTAAAAGGGCAGCAGTTCAGGAGCCATTCTGTTCCCTGCCTTCCCTCTTCTGATCCTGTGAAAACTGTAACAGCTACAGCTGCTCTGCTTTCAGCCCTTCCCTTCTCCTGAAAAGGAGCATCCTCCTCTTAGGCCACTTTGATCACTGACTACCTCTAATTTTCCTGTTAAAAGAGAATGAACTTTGAGCTGCTCTGCCCTTTTTCCACCCTACCATCCAGAGGAAGAGACAGCCCCACTCAGCTCAATCTTCTGGGTAAAATTTTGAATGGCCCAGAGCGATGAGTCAAGTGGGTTTTTTAAGCTATGACTTGCTCTATTACTTATTTTATAAAAGTGTGGCTGGTAGAATTTTACAAGTCCTAGTAGGTTAATTGAAAAAGAATTGGTATGTAAGGATGTGAGAACAGATTGGTCCATAGCAAGGTATGGGCCTGACAGCTGATCCTCAATGGCAGACTAGAAAGGCATTTTTAATTTGGTTCACTACTTTTAAAAAGTAGCAAGTAATGAAAATAAACATAAGACATTCAACAGAGAACACTATCAAAACATGAGGGAGTGGATGGCCTATGGGGCTGGTATCGATGAAAATTTTTCACGATGAAGGTCTCTGCTTAAAATCTGGTTCAATTGTATAGTGACTAAAAGTTACCATTTGATAGTTTTTTGGTGGTTTGTGTGAAATAAATTTGTAGTCTTCATCCATTTAATGGATAAATATCTATATAAAAAACATCACCAAGTGGCACTGTAGTAGGCTGAAAGAGCAGTGATATCAACAATTGAAAGAGCGTGGAAACTGAACTGGAATTTTTTCATCGTTGGATGTGGTCCCTCCAGTTTAGGGAAGTTTGCACTGCTGCTACGTATGCTGTGTTTGTTCTGGATTTACAAGGCTGGCTGTCAATTTACCACCTTTCACAAACATTAAAGTCACTTAAAAAACACAGGCACACTATCATTATTTCCCATCT